AAAAAAAAAAAAATTCTGCATCATGTAACTTATATATTTTCTTTTACATGGTGATCTCTTGTTGTGGAACAAGATGTTTTTGAGCGTGGTAGTAATAAGGCTCTCAATTGCCACGTCTTTAAGAAACATAAATTTCATGCCTCGTGTCTTATGATACTAGTCTGTACGTGTTTTGTTTGCTCCCAGTTAAATTTGCGGTCTCTGTATCGTGGTTGTGGAAAATTAACAATGGGTTTTTTTAATTGATTTTGGTGTGAAAAATCTTAAAAAAAGCCACCTCATATGTGTCATTAAAATTGATAATTATAATTAATAAGCCACCTCATATGTCATCTCATATTGTGGCATGACTTATGGCGCCTATTTGGGCGCCATAAAAATTCTGGATTTATTTGGTGGGATTTCAAAAGGAAAACTCATATAAGAAGTCTCGTTCCAAATTCCACCTCCAAACTAAAGATTTCACAGGATTTCTTCTTAAATCTGAAAATCTTAAAAAGTCATTTGAAATCTCAAACGAATACAAATGTCAATTTTTCATTTTTTGTCTCACATATCAATTATAACGTGGCGACATTCATCTGACGTGGTTGAGTACAATGCCAAGGGAAAAATCAAAACTAGTCCACGTATTTTGGGAGGTGACATTTTTGGTCCCAACGGAATCCAAAAAATATTAAATAGTACGGACATGTGTGTGCGACGTGGCATTCCGGGCCGAAAAATTGAAAAAAATCCTACTTTTGATCATTTTTTAAAAGCTGCGGGACTATTAATATTTTCAGGATTCCGTTGAGACAAAAAATGTCACTCTCCCTGTGGGACTAGTTTTAAAATTTTTCCATGTTGGAATTGAGTATTTCAACTCAAACTCGCCAAATCAATCACTTATTCATTTTTAAAATTCAACTCAAATTTAACTCAACCCATCTTATTCAATAGTACCAATCTATATATATATAATTGTTGGCATGTAGCATTTAATAAAACATTTAATAAAACTTCTAAAAATTTTCCTCAATTTTCGGTTACAAAATGTGTCATTAATATTTTTCACTTCTCACATT